TATGAGAAACATGCAGGAAAAGATAAATGTTTGGAAAATAATTTTAGAAAAAACTTTCTTAAAAGATTTTTAGTTTTTGACCAAAAATTACACAAGAAATTCACATTTTGACATAAAACTTTATACAAAACTATTTCTAAAAATGTTCTCTTAAAATTTATTAGACTTTGACCAGAAATAACATGAAACGTTAATAGAATAAAATTTATAAAAATAATATTTAAACATTTTCACGATCAGACCACAAGGATTTAAAAGCCACAGATTTAAAGCCACAGTTTTACCGAAAATTTCCAGAAATACATTTAAAAAAAAAAAAAGAGAAACATGCAGAAAAGATAAAACTTTAATTCCTTTTTTCCTAAAAAGTTTCATCAAAAATTTTCACCATCAGACCACAACACGCAAAATTAGGATTTAATGAAAAATTCCAAAAATATTTTTTTTCCCAAAAAATTCTCAAAATGCTCTAATTTGATAAGAAAAAAAGATTACATTTTGAATTTTTTTCTCAAAAACTTTCATCAAAATTTTTCACCTGACCTCATGACATGCGAAATTAGGATTTTACCAAGAAATGTCTCAAGATGCTGTAGTTTGATGAGAAGCATGCAGAAAAGATACAATTTAGAATTTTTTTTTTTCGAAACATTTCCATCACAATTTTTCACCCTTTGATAATGACACGTGAAATTAGGATTTTACTGAGAAATTTGAAAAAAGAAATCTAAAAAATGTATTAAAATGCTCTAATTTTATGAGAAACATGCAGAAAAGATACAATTTAGAAAATCCATCCATCCATTTTCATCCACTTATCCGTTACCGAGTCGCGGGGGCAGCAGTCGCCACCCAAATCACATTGCACCGTACCAGCCCCCCTAAACCTTCCTGTGGGTGGTGAGTCCACTGGAAGGTACCAACCGCCCTAACCGGGAACTTGCCCAGGAGGTGAACCCTGGGGTTCCACATCAAAGACAGAGACATTGCTTCTGGGCCAAAGCAAACATGATTTAGAAAATACTTTTTGCAAAAATTTTCATGAACATTTTTCAACATCTGACTACCATGACATTTAATTTAGGATTTTGCTAAAAAATTCCAAAACATTTTTTTTCTAAAAACTTTTCAAAATGCTCTAATTTGATGAGAAACATGCAGAAAAGATAAAAATTTCTTAAAATACTTTTTGCAAAATGTATCATGAAAATTTTTCAACATGACAACCACATGTGAAATTAGTGACTGGAGCTGTAATGTTTATCATTCAATCATTACAGGAGCGGCGCACTTTTGTCCACTGTAATATATTAAATTGGAAAAATGACAAAAAAATTGATGTTTTTCTTACAGGTGAAGATCTCAGAGGATCATCTGAGGCGGTGTGTCGCACACCTCGGGGCTTTAGTGATGGAGAGAGAGCGCCGCAGCTTCCTGCTTTACTCGCAATTCTATGAACAAATCCTGCAGCAGAACCAAAAGCTACTGTACCAGAGAGAACAGGTCAGGGTGTGGTTCATCTCTACAGCAGAAAATGAAGATTAAACAAATTAGCAATGTCAAGGACAGACAACAACGTTTTTGTTTTTTTTTGTTTCCCAAAATTGTCTGACTTGTTGTCTGATGCTTTTTCCCCCAGCGTTACTAATCATACTGTATGAACTTAAATATCTCTGTGTTAGCCTAAGTGTATCCATAAACATTTAAATCAATAGTAGAAAACAACAAACATTTACTACAATGCAGATAAATAAATATATCAGCTTTACTTTCCCCCTTTGTTTTGTGCTCAGGATTTAAAAGCCACAGATGTAAAAAAACAGAAAAGGAATCGTCTGCAAGAGGTGAGTGAAACAAACATACTAATGAATAAAGATGGACAAAACTTTTAAAAAATCACATTCATTTTAGAAGAAAAAAACCTTTGTTCCTTGTGTCCCTGTATTTTGTTGTTGTTTTTCCACAGGTCTCGGGCTCGTGCCGTCACATGATGCTGGAGATCTCAGCTCTGCAGGCTCGAGTCGCTCACCTGGAAGATGAGAAACACTCTCTGGAAGAGAAACTGTGCCTCAAATTTAAAGAACATTACGACCATGTGGTTCGACAACTGGTCTCCACCTGTGTCCAGCTGAAGGTGAGAGGTTCCTCCCTGAACCTTTGTGCTTGGTTGGACCTGGCAAAGTGATTTATATTTATATTTTTACCATCTCTATTTTATAATCACTGTGATCCAGGCCAAACTAGACGAGCATCCCCTGCAGATGGAGCAGGACGTCTCTGTGCTGGTCAACACCGTCAGAGGAGAAGGAGTGGAGAGACTCGTGCAGATCAAGAACAAGTACGACTGCACCAAAGACAACTGGGATCTCACAGTCACACAGTTAAAGGTACTGGAGACACAAGAGGACACAAGATGTTGGTTTAGTGTGTTGAAGAAAATGATTTGATCTTGTGTATGAATGTGTGTGTGTGTGTGTGTTAGAAGGTTGAGCTTCACGATCTGAGCCTGGAGAACAGTCAGCTGACGTCTCTGCTCTGTAAACTGAAGGCTCTGAGTCGATGGAAGCAGACGGTGGACCAGGAGAAACTTCACAGACAGCTGCTCCAGACTCAGCAGGTGAGGAGAGGAAAAGTGAAATTTTATTTCTTATTTTCCCTTTGATGTTTATTTGCACCGTGTGTGATTCCTGACCTGTGAGTTTTTCTTGGCCGTCGTTTCTTGCGTGACTTTTCTTGGCAAAAAGCCATAATGAGAAGTTGAGCTGGTGTTTATCTGTGGTCTTCAGAGGGAGATTAGCAGTCGCTCCGATGCCCTCAGAGTGAAGATGGTGGCGGAGGAGGAGGTGCTTCTCCTCCAGGAGGAGCTGGACGCTGTTCGTCAGATGCTGAGCTCCTGTCAGGCCGAGTGCAGCCGAACCAAGAAGCTGCTCAGCAAGAAGGTAGAAATCAATGTCAGAACATCTTTGTTCACTCTAAATCTGAATGAAGGTGTGAATGAAGGTGTGAACGGACCTGTGATTCCTGAAAAACACAAAAAATACTTTAGGAAATGTGTCCTGACTTTTGAGTTTCCTGGCTGTAGAAAAAGTCAAAAGTTAAATCAGAATGATGAGCTGCTCACATTGATTTTTATTTACCTCCTAATTCACTGTCACTTTTACAGAGCGAGGAGCTCCAGATGGCCAGACATCAGTCCGCAAAGGAGGCTCGCAGCAGGCAGGAGCTGGACACCTACAGAGCAAAGAGTCTGGAGCAGATGAGAGTAGATGTAGAGGACAGAGACAGACAGCTGAGGGCGCTCTCTGAGCAGCTGGACAGAGGCAGTAAGATGAGCCAGTTCCAGAGACAACGCAGTGCCAAGAAGATAAGACAGGTCTGTGATCTGTGTTAGAGCCTCAGCTGTTCATTGAAATGCCTGAAGATGGTGCTAGACAATGGAGGACAGGAAAGCAGGGAGTCAGGAAGCTCTAAACAATTTGTCACAACAATAACAATAGTTATTTTTCTACATATCCTCTGATTAGGTCAAATCTTCTTGGTGTTTCTATCAGAGAAGAATTTTTTGAAATGACATTTGTATGCTTACACATTTTCTTCAATCCAAACATACATTCATAATTTCCTGAGTGCAGGTGAAGGGCCAGTTGCACCAGGAGCGCAGTCTCAAACAAGAAGCCTTCCAGCAGGTAGAGAAGCTGCAGAACCAGGTGGTGGACATGGAGGAAACGTTCTCCAGAAACAGCTCTGCTGCAGGTGCACATTCACCACAACTGACATTGACTGACTTCAAAGAGTTGATGTTTCCACATGTTAACAGTTTAGTCAATGTTTTGTGATTGTGTTTCAGTGCAGAGCAGGAGTGGTTACAGACTGTCAGCCAGCAGATGGAGCTGTAGTAGAAGTCCTTCTGCAAGTAATGGACACAATCTTTGACAAATACTGCATACGTTTGTTTAAGAAAAGTTTGACTGATCACTGATTGTCCTTATGAACTTCTACAAGTTTAACTTTTATTTTTAAGCAAACTCTTAGTTACCTTTTAATTTAACCTTTAATTTTATTGCTATTTTTCAGCTAAGTTGTTAGGATTTGTTAAGACACTTTTGGTTAGCTCATGCTATATTTAGGCTAATGTTTAGTTGTTTTATTTGCTTCATTTTGCTAACTTTTTTAAATCTATTTTTGCAATGTTTCAATTGACAAACTAATAAACTACTGACAATATGAGCAATTTAGATTTTTTCATTAAAACCATTAAATACAGAAATATCAAATTATAATATGATCTCCATGACATTGACTATTAACTTTTTTTTTCTTTTAGACATTTTACATTGGTGTTTCTATAGTTACCTATTTAATCTCGAGGAATATAATTTTAAACATATATTTGATGAGCACTTGGTATGACTGTTAATTGTGTTACTGTACTGTTCTGTCTCAGGCCTGCAGAGACTCAGTCAGCAGCTCAGAAGTCTAACTTCAGATTCTACCACACTTCTGGACCCGGCCTCAGAACGTAGACACCTAAGAGCAGCAACAGACCAGAGTCGGTCCAACACCAGAATCGACCGACAAAGAGCAGTAAGTCCATTTGTCTAGAGTAGTCTAACACTAACCAAACAATATATGATGGCTAAAAGATAGCCCAAAATTATATATATATATATATATATATATAATTTTGGGCTATCTTTTAGCCATCATATATTGTTTGGTTAGTGTTAGACTACTCTAGACAAATGGACTTACTGCTCTTTGTCGGTCGATTCTGGTGTTGGACCGACTCTGGTCTGTTGCTGCTCTTAGGTGTCTACGTTCTGAGGCCGGGTCCAGAAGTGTGGTAGAATCTGAAGTTAGACTTCTGAGCTGCTGACTGAGTCTCTGCAGGCCTGAGACAGAACAGTACAGTAACACAATTAACAGTCATACCAAGTGCTCATCAAATATATGTTTAAAATTATATTCCTCGAGATTAAATAGGTAACTATAGAAACACCAATGTAAAATGTCTAAAAGAAAAAAAAAGTTAATAGTCAATGTCATGGAGATCATATTATAAGGAACCGTCTCAGCTGCACGTTCTGACGCCACAGAGGTTGTTACCTGAGCTGTAAAGGACACAAAAAAAAAGAAAAATCACTCACACACACACACACACACACTCACATATACACACACTCACATATACACACACTCAGTGCTGCTGTGGTTTCACTGTTGTCTGGTGTGTGTGAGTGAAGCCTGATATCAAAGTCCTGGACAATAAAACCTCAGTTTGATTATCTATTGTTTTCACTGAGTTGTATGAGATGATCTGAGAAGACGAGTTGTAAAATGGAAACAATAAAAATAAAAATAACAATTGTTAATAACTGTTTTCAAGTTCTACTTTTATTCAACTAAGTTGATGTAGTAGATTAAGAACCAAGAAGAGTTGATTTCTAAATACTTCATCTGGTTAAAAGCATCTCAATAACTATTCAGTGATTGATTTGGCGTGAACAATTGACGCACCTTAAAACTGAACTTTTTTTTTTATATGAAAACACAAAAAATGCCCATTAAAAATAACATCAGTTACACTTGGCCTTGAACCAGTGTTTTTTTACTGTCACCAAAGACGACTAAGAACTCCACTGTTGGGTTTTTACAATAGGTTTGTATATCTAAAGTTTAAAAAAAAACAGACCAGATATTTCTCTTTTCCTTAGTGACTTAGTGATACTTTATAACAACTGATATGTTTTGGCATATATTTATTAAATTTGTCAGTTTTTTGTTAAATTGTTTTTTTTTTTTTAAAGACAGAAATCCACTCTCCATGTTGAGACGCTGCCTTTTGTAACATTTATTTTCTTAAAAAAAAAAAAACTCAACTCTTTCAGTCAAACCTTAGTGAGTGGGTAAAACTGTTTTGTGCTGAACACACTCAGATATAAAATCTGTTCAGGTCCATGTCTCAGAGTCTGGTCCACACTCAGCTCTCCTGCTGGAGACCAGTGGTACACAGATAGGACACAGTTCCTGCCTGGATCTGAAAGGTCTGTCCCTGGATGTGGTGGCTGGAGATCTGCTCACTGGTCTGGCTGATGGAAATGGGCTGGCTGCTCTGGCTGCTGATGTGAATGGCCTGGCCGTGCTGCTGCACGGGCTGATGCATCACCTGCAGCTGCTGAGCAGGGCCGTGCTGCGACTGCAGCTGCTCCATGGCCTCTTTGCTCAGAGTGATGAGGTGCATCTGCTCCGGCTGCTGCGTCACCTGTCCCTCCAGCATGCCGATGTTCTGGATCTGAGTCGCGTGGTGGTCCACCACGGCGCCCTGAGCGACCAGAGCCACGTTCTGCATGTGCCCCGAAGCCTGGGTGAGGAGGGTGAGTCTGGACTGGCCTGGCTCGGCTGTGTCGCCCTCTGAGGTGATGATGCTGATGTCCTGTTCGTGCACAAAGTTGATGTTGTTGACCACCAGCTGGATCTCCTGCTCGGAGCTGGATGGCAGCTGGTACGGCTGAAGCTGCAGGATGTTCCGCTCCTCTTCCTCCACCTCCTCCTGAGGCTCTGCTGCTGACATCACCACTGCTGTGTCTGAGGCAGACTCCGCTGACTGCACTCGCTCCTTGCCGTGTGATTTGGTGTGAGTTCTCAGATTGTCCAGACGAGTGAATGTAAGGTTGCAGGTGGAGCAGGTGAAGGGTTTGTTCCCTGAGTGAGAGGAGACGTGTCGTCTCCTGGCGCTGGGGTCCGAGAAGGACTTGTTGCAGAGGCTGCAGGCGTACGGCTTCTCACCTCTGTACAGGTGAAAACACACAACCGTGGTTTGAGCTACGCAGCAGTTTTTCAATTTTTCATGAAAATGACTGAAGAAGAATGCACACAGTTTCTGACCTGTGAATTCGTATGTGAGTCTGCAGCGTGCTCTTGGCTGTAAAACACTTTCCACAAATCTCACAGGTAAAAGGCTTCTCTCCTGATAATACAGTGAGAAATTTTAGACTTCCAACGTTAGTTTTGGTCTCAATTCACCAGTTTTTTTAGAACCTCATCGAAATTTCACCTGTGTGAGTTCTCAGATGTTTTCTCAGCTGAGCTTTGTCAGGAAACTTGTGATGACACTCTGCACATTCTGGGAATGATTTTCCTAAAAAGAAAAAAAAAATTTTTAAATATTAAATTTTTTTTTCGGGCTAAGCAGTGAAAACAGAACCTGAGTATCACCTGTGTGAACCCTGTAATGACAGTTGAGTTGTTTCTTCTGTGTGAAAGTCCTTCCACATTTGTCACATCCAAAAGACCTCTCTTCTGTGTGGTGCAATTTAAAACATCAGCAAAAATCAACAGACTTTAACAATTCAAATCTTGAACATCAATTCAATAATTCCATTTCCATCTGTGTGACCCTCGTCAGCTCTTACCATTGTGCAGGTTCATGTGTTCCTGTAGTGAGTGTTTGGTGCAGAGGGCTTTGGAGCAGATGGTGCAGACGAACGGTTTCTCTCCCGTGTGCTTGCGCTGGTGAACCAGCAGTATGTAATTCTGGCTAAAACTCTTCCCACACACTTGGCAGCGGAAAGGTTTCTCTCCTGTGGGAATCAGTGCAGAATATAGTGAGGCGTACGTCCATGATGGGATTTGAGCCAATCCCAGCAGTCTCAGCCAGTGATCATCCTTCACTGGTCAGCTGTCCCGGCCCACGCCCACCTTCTCTCAATGACTGCTGGGATTGACTCCAGCCCAGCTAATCTGAAAAGTATCATGGAGTAAAAGATGAATGAAGGCTACAGATCCGTCGATCTTAGCTCTGGGCTGTGATTACCTGTATGTGTCCTTTTGTGGATTATTAAAAAGAGGTGATTTTTAAACACTTTGCCACAGTCCTCACATCTTGCTTCTGTGTTTGGATATTTTCTTTTCCTGCCTTTTTTCCCCGGCTCTTTGCTCACCGCTGTGTCCTGGTCCACTTGGTAATTCAGGTATTTTACTGGAGGCCTGACTTTGCGTTTGCTCTGTCGACCCAGATGGACTTCTGGATCAACATCAGTGTCAGTTTTACAGTTGCCTTCTTTTTGGTTATTGTCCATATTGTCCAAGTGTGAACTTTTTGCCTCCTGCTCCGTTACTGCCACAATTTTCTTTGGTCGTCCTTTTTTGCGTTTGGACAGATGAGGATCCTCAGGTCTGTCTACACATCTTGTGTCGTCTTCAACCTCTTTTGCACCAGCTGTCAGTTCAGTGAGCACTTTCACAAGGTCTTTCACTTCCACCAGATGAGCTGCGGCCAGGAGTTGCTCTGTGGTGTTCTCCTCCAGGGACACGTGAGCACTGTAGATGAACTCCAGCACTGTGGAGAACATCTCAGCTGCCATGCCGTCCAGTCTGAAGGTAGACTGACCGATACCATCCTGTGATGTGAACATGAGGGAGAAGTACTCACTGCTTGCTGCCAGCAGAACTTTGTGAGCTCTGAAATGAACGTCCTCCACGACCAGAGTGACGTCACACAGCAGGTCCCTTCCCCTTAGTTTGTGAAATTTACTCAGGATGCTCAGTCTATGGGAGTCTGAATGAACAGCTACCAGTGAAGATGTTCTGGCCGAGGTTTCCTGAGACATCTTCTCTTCTACAACACCACCCTCTGCTCTTTGGGGGGGAAAAAATAGAAAAATTAATAAATAATATCTTTGCAAGTGAATTTTGTTGACCATATTTTAACATTATATTGAAAATAAAGTTAAATATGTGCCGAAGAGTTTCCTTTTAAATATTTCCCATTATTGTTCATGAATGAAAGCATCGTAGTTTAATAGTCAAACTTAATACTATACTGCACATGTCATATGCCTTGTTTTAGCGTTATGTGTACACTAGCCATTAGGGTAAACGGCTGTAAGTTCACTCCATGTCAGCTAAATTACCTAGCTAATTTAATATGTGTAATTATTCATATGGAGTAATTGTTGGCATCGCGTGTGGACTTTTTTAATACTACTGCAAAACGACGTACGGTACGTCGTTACCGTAACAACCGGTACGACGTACTGCTGCTGTAAATAAGTCGATCCCTCACTTTTTAAAAGCTATTTCTTTTTAATTACACTTTCTGGAAAATTGTTAAAATATTTATTTATAATATTACAATTATTTGTACTGTGTACCATATTTGAAGACGATAGAGCGTTATACTGTAAACAGAGCGGTAATAGAAGCAATGCGAATGCTAGCAAACACGCTAGTTTTGCAATGTTGTAAGGAACGTATATGCTGTGACCTACGATAGGCAAATTAGAGACAGGCAGACATAATTTTTAACTAACGTGAATGAAAACGAATCACCACTGTCACTGACAGGACCAGCTTAGTACTCTAACCGCTGTGTATTTTCTAACAGTGAGCTTTTAGGACCTTACCTTCGCTACGTTCTCTCAACAGAGGGCAAGAACATTCTATCGCGAGATGTAAGATATTACACGAGATGCCCTTTACCTGATCTACCAAAGCACTGTTGAGTTGAAAAGCGGCTGCTTTGGCTGAAACCCATCTCCCCACGTCTTTATAAATCTGTTTTAAAAATTTGTCCACATTGTTTAACAGCTGTGATATTAAAACATGCACCATGTCGTTTTTTATGTTTGTCTAATGTCAATGTAGTGACTAGAATAACGCAAAAGGGCGGTCTGTGGCGTCTGTGTAGAACCGGTAAAATCGGAGGGCTTTCATGTTTGCCGAGATACTTCGCTGCACCGTCAAAAAGAAGGTTCTAAAGGTGATTGTTTGTATATTTTAATCGACTACACTGCACTGTCGCTGGGGTTACTTGAAAGATTATTTTGTGTTATTTTTATTTTTATTATACTGCCTACATGTTTACGTTGGAGTATATATCCAATATATATATATATATATA